CACTTTTTCAAAAATATTTGAGAAACATATTACAAACCATCTTTATAAATACTTAACGAAATATGACCTGTTACACACTTCACAGTCAGGTTTTAGGGCAAAACATTCATGTCAGACTGCTCTTGTCCACCTAATTGATAAATGGATTGACAGTATTGATAAAAATGAAATAGTAGGTACTATATTTATAGACTTAAATAAGGCTTTTGATTTAGTAGATCATAATATCCTTCTACACAAACTAAAGATTTTAAACATGACTTCATCAAGTCTGGATTGGTTCTCATCTTATCTACAAAACAGAGTCCAAACAGTTAGAGCAGGCAGCATATCTTCTTCTTTCCAGACAATCAAAGCTGGAGTACCGCAAGGATCCATACTTGGTCCATTAATGTTTATTATCTATATTCATGATATGCCACTTTATGTGAAAAATAAAATAATTGAGGAAAATAATACTCTGCCATTCACATTCAGAGTAAAATACCACACATGTATATTAGTCTACAAATCTTTAAATGATATGGCACCTGATTACATTAAAGCTGGTCTAAATAGGTGTACTGACACGTATAGATATGGATTAAGATCTACATCTCAACAAAATCTAATATTGCCAAGACCAAATTCTGAATTATTCAAAAAGTCATTTACTTACACTGGAGCAATGTTGTGGAATAATTTACCGGTCAATATTAAAAATACGACCACAGTTTGTTCTTTCAAGAAACACCTTAGGCAGCATCTGCTATCTCTATATTTAAATGAGTAATGTTATTCACACAGGTAACTGTCAAAATTTGCTAAGTTTCTGTGAACGTATTGTTACCTTGTACTGTGATGTTAATTTTTGTACATATACATATGCTCAATTATATTAAAACTGTATTCCTCAGGGAAAGAATGCTGTATGTACGAATGAGCAAAGAGTTTATGTGTCAAATAGTTTGTTTACTGTTTTTATCTGTATAATAATTTGATATTATTCACGATACGTTCGTTCAGATATCTAGTCAGCAGGTTAGTCTGATTACCAAATATTCATAAACAATAGTAGCGTTCAGTTATCTTACATAATGTTTATTTGTTGTCCATGATTTTGTAGTTAGCATAATAATCTGTTTTAATGTCAGTTAACATGTTTGTATGATGTTTGAGAGGGCCATATGGAAGATTAGTCTTGTACTAAATATGTAACCCTCCTTAAATAAAGATATTATTATTATTATTATTATTACACTAGAATCGTCCGTCCTCTGATGTCAGTTTTTACGTTAAAAGTGTGTTGTGTTTCGATCGTCCTGTCTTCGGCTTAATTTGGTAGGGAATTAGGTAATTTAGTTATAGTGTGTGTAGTTCACAAGAACCTCAATGTCAATATTAGTTTCGATTTAAAGAAAACGGCTGCTGAGCAACACTGACTTTGACGTCACAAGTACCACGCGACCGGTAGGCTGGCTTATCGACAGTAATTAAGGCCACCCGTTTGAATACTATAGAGTGGTTCTAAATAACGGGACACATCTGAATGCTTGTTGATAGACGATTAAACTGTTTTACAGATTCCACTATTTTTTCACAAAAATATCTTGGCCCGGGGCAAAATCATTTATCCAGAGACGTATATATATATTTTGTTACCGTGACCGAACACTATTTCATAATAACGGAATGAAGTATCCCATTTTGACGAAATCCCGGCCTATGATGCATTGTATAAGTTCCGTAATAACGAGATCGCTTTGTTGTATTGGCGAGCTGAGTTATCCCGTAATACAAAACGCCAAGCCTGAACAGAGTGTACGTATATGGGTGGCGGTTCGGGCCAAAAACGATATACACTAATGCGTTAAAAAAGTAACCCGTAAGAAGTGACTTTTAACGCGTTAGAACTGCCTTTTAACTCGTTAAAACTTACTTTGAACGCGCTATAAGTGCATTTAACGCGTTAAACACATCTAACACGTTACAATAATATGCATTGGCCAATCAGAGAAATCGTTTCATAGTTGATGCTTTTGATATTAAAATAAATAAAAATGTTATGGATATGGAGAAATGCGGGCCACTTTTCCTCATGAATATTAATGAGGGGCGGAGCATGTTTGATCACGTGATCATCAGAGTTTTTCCGCGCCACCATGGCAACCAACAGAAATAAGAATAAAATGTTCCCAGGCTCATTTTAGTTACGATTTTAGCGTATTTTAAGACAACCATGTACAATAAAATCAACCAACTGGTCACATTGAACGAGATTTATCAAAGATAATGGGAACGGGAGTTACATTACTTCTTAATATAAGGGAAAATATAGAATATATAGGCAGACAGCTGTCATTTTCGCACATTCTATACTATCGATGAAGGAGCATAAACAATGTGCATTTAGTACCTGTTACGTCTACACTATATACAAATCTTATTTTATTTATTTGTGAGAAGGCATAATTAAGGAAAAATTAAAGCATAATGATACATGTACTTGAAGCTAATCGATGTTGTTATATTTTTTAATTGATAAGTCACTCCGTCTGCCTTATTGTTGAATGAAATATGTAAACTTATCAGTCGTTTCAACTAACTATATTTAAATTCAACATTTGAAAAAGAGCTGGTATTCCAGCCTAGCCTCTGAAATAATCATCGGAGACATATACAAATGTAATCCTTTTCTCCGGGATAGTCTGGTTCACGTCTTGAACCCCTCATCTGTTACATATAAATATACATAGTCCTCAGTATATTAAGTAACATCCGTCAGCCCGTGATTATTCTGTCCTTATTGTTTTAGAATCTTTGTATCACGTATACTAACTGTATTACTGCAATATATATGAGATTGCAATCGTCATATTTGGTCTTGTTTTATTCTAATTATGCAACTTTTTTAAGATACCACACCTTTTAATTTTGAACACAAGTTAACTGTTTGATCACAACTTATAGGCTATA